ACAGAAGGGTTGTTAGAACCGAGCGTATGGACACGTATGAAACTTACTGGACAATCAAGCACCCTAACCTGTCAGATGATCGTAACAGCCGCCACAGTTATAGAGCCCATTATCGCGTTAACAAGAGTACCTTTGAGTGGCTCGTCAACCGTTTAAGTAGATGTTCTGCTTATCTTGGATCAATTTTGCGAGGTGGATACTCTGTGGAAGTCCAAGTTGCGTGTGTGCTTTGGAGATTTGCCAACACCCATTTTGGTTATCGCATTGCTGAAACACATCTTGGAGTAACTGCCGGATCGTTCAATAATTTCACAAACAGATTTATTGATGCCATGTTGGAGATTACTCCCGAAATTATAACGTGGCCTATCGACGACAGAGATAGAGCTTTAAACAATGCTCGTGAGTTTTCAGAACTTGGTGGACCTGATGCCACGAGACTTTCTGGTGTACTAGGTGCGATTGATGGCAAGCTGGTCGTCATTCAAAAGCCAGCAATTAACGGAAATGCCTATGTCGATAGAAAGAGCCACGCATCTATGAACTTAATGGCCATATGCGATGCCCGTACTCGGTTTATGTACGTAAAAACTGGGCATTCCGGTAAGTTCGTATGGAAGGATAAAAATGATATAGCAGCTTACCGTTTGTTATTATATTAAGGCAGAAACCATGATGCCCGAGTGTTTACTAGCAGTGTGATCTATCATAAACTTTTGTTTGATGCGGCCAGATGGTGTCCCGCAAACACTTATATTTTGGGAGGTAAACTCATTAATCATACCATAGTGTACAAATTATTAATGATGTGACCTAGATTCGGCTTACCCTTTGCTGCCAAACCTCATTGTTCCATTTCATGGCCGACGTGAAAGCACTGCAGAAGAAAAGATTTTCAATGAAATCTTTTCTAGTTCTCGCATAAAAATAGAACATGCATTTGGTGGACTCACATCCCGGTGGAGATTCCTTTGGAAGCATTTGTATATGCTTAGTGTTGATAGAATGGCCAAAACTATCATATCTTGCTGTGATTTACACAACATTTGTATAAATCAAAATGACATTGAAGAGGCAGTGTTGGATGGAGGATTAGATTTCGAGGGTTTTGTGGAGGCAGATCGCCGAAACCAGTATGAAAACGAGGTGAATTTTGAACCCCCTCTTCCTTTTGATGGTACCAGCGCTACCATCGACGCAGCCGGGATGCGCCGTCTTAAGGCAATGTCTATATTAAGAAGAAACAATATCATGAGGGGAACAGATAGACTTTCATAGTTTTCAAAAGGTTTTAATGAATTAAAAATTTTATTTTATTTAATTAATTATTGTTGTCAGTAGAAGATGAACCATTAAGATTGGTATCACTATCACCTCTTCGAATGGCTGCGAATCTATTCAGGATAGTCTCCATATCAGACATACGTCTACGTCTATGCTCTTCCATGTCAGCCTCTCGTCTACTTCTTGCTTCTTCGAACATAAGGTATCTCTCTCTGGTCTCTTGTCGCCGTCTTGCTTGCATATCTTCCAATGCAATTTGTCGATTACGACTGATACGTTGCAACATGTTATCAACATCGAGAAGTCTTTGTTCTCGATCTTCCCTTTGAGATGCTGCCATGCAATCCATCATCTCTACACCAAGTTGGCGGGCACGTGCCATATGCTCGTCTGACAACTGACGAGCAGCTTCAATAGGATCAGGAGTTGATGAAGACTGCTCACCAGAAGTTCGACTATTTCGCGATGTACGGGTAGATCTTGGTGGAGGTGGTGCAGATGAAGGTGGAGGTGGAGGTGGTGCAGATGAAGGTGGAGGTGGAGGTTGTGCGGATGTATATGGAGGTGGAGGTGGAGGTGGTGCGGATGTATATGGAGGTGGAGGTGTGGATGAAGGTGGTGGTGGAGGTGTTGCGCCTGTTGATGTTGGTGGTGCTGCGGATGCTGATGTAGGTGTTGGTGTTGGTGTTGGTGGTTCGGTTGTTGGTGTTGAGGTTGGTACGGCTGTTGGTGTTGGTGTGGGTGTTGGTGTTGGTGCTGTTGCTGGTGTTGGTGCTGGTGCTGGTGCTGTTGTTGGTGGGGGAGGTGCGGATGCTGATTCAAAAAATGATGGCAATGCAGGTCCTTCGTTGTTGGTAGAATCTCTAGCAGGATATCGATCAGCAAATGCTTTCTGAATTACAAGTTGATCAACTTCTGTAGGTCCCAAGTATGTTGTTTCAGGGCCATCGGATCCAATAGCATTCATCAAATTGTCGTCGTTGAATCGTCTGTAAGACCGAATACCACTCTCTTGCATGTTGATGCTTTCGTAAATCACTTCAGGTTGGATGCTTGGATCATCCTGAGTAATCTTAGCAATTTCCTCGTAGTACGGCATGTTTGGAACAGTTCCACCAACTCCGGTTTCTCTTGCTGCATTTCTTACTCTGGTAAAACGCTGCTTCATGTCTGCCCACTTTCTTTGCATGCTTGTCTCACTAAAGTTTGTCAAGAAAGCCGTGATTACATCGTTGGTAGCATTCTCAGCTAACTTTTCCTTCAGCAAAGCAGCCGAATGTACCCAGATAAGCTGCTTTAAAGCAGTATCGCTTCTTCTCAGCAAGTAGCTGTAGGTACCAGCCATAATTTCGAGGAGGATACAGATAGCTACATCAGGCCATACATTGTAGGACCGTGAAGATAATTGTTCGGGCTCATCGTCATCATCAACGTTGGCGTTACTGTCAGCTTCGGTGTTGCCGTTGTTAACAGGAATGGTGTTTTGCTGAACGGTAGGATCGACAACAAACACAAAAGTGCCAGCGCGTCTGCCACGTCCACGTCTGCCTCCACGTCCATTTCCACGACCGCGTCCACGACCACGTACGTTGTTGGGGGCATTGTTATTAGCTTCGGTATTGTTCATAGTAAGGTAAGTGATAAAATGTATTTGACAAATTAAAGGGAAAGAAAAATAAAAATAAAAAAACACTGGATTTAAAGAAGTTCGTTATTTTATCATTTCCTTTTCAAGTAAACTATTTTGAAAACAAGATCACTTTGATCATGTTTTTATTTGATTCCTTATATGTATATGTATTATTTTGCCCAAATTTAGCTCTACATTTCAGAGACTTTTTTCACTATTTTTGTATAAAAAATGGGCTATTTATTTTCGGTTTCCGATCTTGAGAGCACCTTATGTCAGATAAAGATTTATATTTTGGGATTTGTATTATCTGCTAATTATGGTTTAGTTGTGGATCATAGGAAAGTGAGTACAGTAGTCGCTCGATTTAAGGGTGACCAAAAATTTCGGAAATCTCACCCTTAAATAGAAAATACCCTTAAATCGAAAAGCGTGACTATTTCAAACAGAAGTCACTACGCCATTTTTAACCGTGAAACATGATCATTACTGCGAAATATTTATTTTTATTCGGACATTCAATAAATTTGATCAAAAAGTTAGAAAAAAGTCAAAAATACACTGTCAAATCGTTCGATTTAAGGGTATGGGGAATTGGAATCTCACCCTTAAATAGAATAGTGGTTTAGTGGTGTTAATGCTGGAGACGGAAGCTGTTTTTCCAAAATCCACCCTTAAATAGAAAATACCGTTAAATCGAATACCCTTAAATCGAGCGACTACTGTGATATCTTGGATTGGCCACCAATTACTTCAGGTAAACAGTTGGCATCATTCCTCCGATCGACAAACTACTTTCGATCGCATATTCCTAATTAAAGTTTCCTATCCGCTTGTCATGATAACTTGAAGAATAAGCCTAATTTGAAAGAACTTTGGTCTAAAGAGCATGATGATGCTGCGAAAAAGTTAAAATTAGCGTTAGTATCTTCAGCAGTGTTCAGTGTTCCAGATCCTGATTACCCTTTCTGTGTTGTAACTGATAGTTCAGCATATGGTTATGGTGCGGCACTTTACCAAGTCATTAATAAAGAGGTCAAGTACATCGGGTTCATAGCTAGAACCATTAGCGATGTAAAAAGACGTTGGGGAAGTTTTCGCAGAGAATTAGCTGCAGTCGTATTCGCCTTTACCAAATTCAAACAATGGTTGAGAGATACAAAGTTCCACTTATTTGTTGATAATAAGAGTATTCTATATATTCATTCGAAAGAGAAGGTTAATTTAGCAGTTGAGAACTGGTATGATTCAATTTACGAAATGGACTTTGTTATTACCTTTTGTGCTGGTATCAAAAATATTTTAGCAGATAAGCTTTCAAGATTATTTATTCCTCATGATGATGAGAAAAAAAATAGTAAAGTAATCTTTAAAAAATTTAAACATGCCAAAACAAGCGATGAGAAGAAGAATACACAGAAAGAATTAGCACTCTTGTCTGAGCTGAAACATATCAATGAGAATGAGGGAGAACCGTCACGTAATTTATCTGCACCCCATTTGTCTAACTCAGAAAACAGTCGGACAAATTTATTGAAAAATTTAATGTGCTGTCATAAAATGACGCCTGCAAAAAAACTCCCATACATTATGACTAAAAATGCCGCCTGCTTGTATTTTCGCCCTGATCCATCTATATTCCGGAGATTAAATATTAATACCCTTAAAAAAAAAATTTTTTTTACTGGGAAATTTTCGTTCAGGGCTCCACCGGGCCTTGTCCGCTGGTAACTCTCCGCCTGAACGGCTGAAGCTCCCAGCGGCTTTTGAGGGGATCCTTTACTTCCGCTTGGGGTCTTTACCCTTTCCCCGCATTGAATATATCGCTGGCTTAGGTAAAAAATCAAATGGTCTAAAATACAATACCGTAACTTAAGTTGTTGAAAATTATATTGCTCTCTTATGCTTTAACTTCGATACTCTTAAAAAATAAATATACCAACACCATATGTTAACAAAACACTTTTTTAAATGATAATTGTCAATTTTTATTGGAAGCCCTCAATTTTTTTTTTTAAAAAAAAAAAAAAAAAAAAAAAAAAAAAAAAAAAAAAAAAAAAAAAAAAAACTTTGTTATTTCATTCAGTTCTAAATTTAAAATGTCAACAATTTCCTATTCAGAGATGGTTCGTAGGGAGAAAGCAATTATTTTGGAAGCAATGCAGGAATCTACAAATCGTTTGAAAGAATGCTTTCCAAATGTTACTGACGAAAAGATTGGGAATGATCTCGCCAGACGAGTTCAAAGTGGTTTGCTCAGTTTCAAGGTAAAGCCTAGACGGTTTCAACCCTACTATGTGTACCTGCGTAAATATAAGAGTAGGTTTTTGTTACTTGAAAAATTTACATAGTAATTTTAACCGATCTTTATAAGGTAAAGGTGCTATTGCTGCAGCTAAGGATTATAAACAGATGACCGCAGAAGAGAGGGAGCGTTGGAATTCTTATTATGAACAATCCGAACAATTGTTGACTCCTACGGTGCAACGAAGTTTGGGTTATCGCTTCCGTACTAGAACGGATTACAGTAACTTTCACAGGTTAAAAGCTTTACTGGAAAAGATCGGCCGGGAATCAGAAGCCCATGTAGTTTGTGCGGTTGTGAGAAAGGTAGTTGGGTACAACCGTGCCCATTACGTGATCTCGGGGACCGGTAAGTTGATGGGATTTTAAAAACTTGTGGCATTACTGTACTCATTCTTTTATAGAAGCTGGTGAGGGTTTTTTGCAGGAGTACGAAGATAGGAATGGAGGTTCTCTCAGCTCCAACCTTGAGTATTTTGCTGAGAGACACAAGAGTGTTGAGGAAGGACAAGGTAAAGATGTAGTTAAAGACGTTGCAAATTCTTCATACCAGTTATTCAAATTTAGTGAAAGGTCCTTCGTATAAAGTGACCGAAAACCCCCCGGCTATTAAGCAAAAGAGGGTGACAACGTCAAAGCATGACATGCAAAGGCAGGATTTGAGGGAGGCTATTCTTCTCTTGATCAGTATGTTAAACATTGTAGGTACATCGATCATTATTTAACAGTTGCTTTTTAATAGACGAGACAAGGGCAGGTATCACTGATATAGAGGTAAAAGAAGTTCAGTGGTCCTCCTTTAAAGAAGTTGAACGAGACGCCGAACATGTCGTTCTCAGACATGTCGGCTTGGGAATCTCTATCAGGAAATGGCCAGCGCATCTCCAATTTAGACGAGAGTTGCCAAGTAAAAACATTCCCGAGGTAATTGATGCCATTAAGAATGGCCACTTTATTTTTTCATTAGAATAATAAAATCATTAAAAAAATGGCCAAACAAATAACTTGTTTAAATATGAAAGTGGTTTGGGATCGATATGATCTTAATTTCCAAAGTATTATCCCAAGATCAATTTTGTCATCTGTCGAATTGGGAACGTAACTTAATTATCTTTTTCAATTTTAGGTTCATCATTCCTTATCAGAAAAGTACATTTCTAAACGCATGCTTTTAATTATTTAACATTCATGAAACTAATTAAGATTGGCTTGATTGACACACATGTAAACAATTAGAGTAGCAATGGTTGATGCAAATTATGAAAGACGATAATTATTTTGTAGTAATTGAGACTTTATTTGCATTAAAAATATCTACAAGATGCATGCTACTTACCTTAACCCAGAACATTTTAAACGTAGTAACAACATCAACAGATGAATTTGCACTAGTATCATCTTCATAAAATCATAAACATCTAAACCGAAATAACATGCTCCGTATACGTTTAATGCGCATTCTAACAACGAAAAGTCAATAGTACTAATCCCGTTTTTTGATATTAAGGGCAGTAGACCGGAAAAAATTTGACAATAGTTCTCCCTTGTTTTGTGATAATAGAGGCAGTAGACCGGAAAAAATTTGGCCATAGTTCTCCCTTGTTTTTTGATAATAAGGGCAGTAGACCGGAAAAAATTTGGCAATAGTTCTCCCTTGTTTTTTGATAATAAAGGCAGTAGACCGGAAACAATTTGGCAATAGTTCTCCCTTGTTTTTTTGATAATAAAGGCAGTAGACCGGAAAAAAATTGACAAAAGTTCTTTTTTTTTTCATTAAGATGTAAGTCTTGAGAATGAAGACAGTGGAGCATATTCAGTCAGACTCAAGTTGAGTAAAATATAGGCGACAGGGTTAATAAGCTAACTTGACAGAGACAACTATAGAAAAGATAATAAACGATCAGTAACTTCATCTTTGGTTTTGTTTAATGAGCAGCTTCCTTACCATGTATTAGTGGTGGATATTAAAGGATTTAAACAACACCTAGTGCTTAAATTAAACCACAAACAAACTAAACCAGCTATATAATTTATGTTAATAAATCGTATGGGTGAAATCTATAATATTAATTACCCATTATACAGTCGTTCTAAGCTATGTTATAAGCAGCAGCAGTTGGATAGAGCATAGAAACGCCTTCAGATGTTCAGATTAGCAGTTTCATAATGAGGAAATAAAAAGTGATGAGAAAGTGAAAGAAAAATTTTATTGCTGGGGTACGGGTGACCCCATCATTGTATCGCGTAATCACCAAATTATTTAATTGGCTCATTTAATTGCGCGTCATTGTGGAATGATTTGATTGGGTTTTGAGGAAAATTTTTTTTTTTATGACGGCTGATTAAAAAGATCTTCCGATGCTTGTGGAACTTTGGCGGAATATCCGGAGGTTTGGCCGCTTCTGCAAGCATCACACTTAGGGACTATAGGATATTATAGTCAAACACCTGTAAAATTAAAAAAACTTGGTTTTTTGTATAGATATGTTCTTCTAAGTAAATCATAAAGGTTTATGCAACTCTCAATCTTGTAACTAGTATAGTTCGTGTTTTAATAGCATTTTAAACTGACAAAAAATATGCATAATTTGATGGAAAAGGATTGATTTTATCGAAACTTGATATCATAAATCATTTTTGGAGACTTGAAAAAGTATTGCGGTAATTTAGGAGTATATTTTATAACTTTTTGGGATATTAAATCCGTTGTATCTTATGTTAATCATGTCAAATGTGGTATATTTTGACGCTGATTACATGTCAGGAACCTTTGAATCCCTTTATCTTGTCGAAAAATTATCGTATCATCTGAGCATTATTACCATTCGATTTGAAATAAAAAATTACATTAGAAACATCAATTCAATCAAATTTGCAGCTATGAAAATTTGGTTTTAATATTTTTATTCAATATTATTGTAAAAAGTCATTTGCACATTTGTTAAAATAAAGGTGGTTTCTTTAAAATATTTTATATAGTCATATTTTTTTTTTTAAAACATCATTTTATAATAGTAAAAAGTGTTCTCTTTTGAATGGCGTAACTATAATAATGTATTAATTTGCTACATTTCAAACAATATCATTCAAAAGTATCTTTTATCGTCTTTACACTGCTTAAAATCTAAAAACTTTGAATATTCATAAGCTACGAACATACACAGGAGTTTTTGATAATAATACTGTGATGTATATACTTTTTTTTGTATGTTTTATTATGAAGGAGAGTCTCGTAACATGTTGGCGAGGAAATAAATTGTTTTTATTGTTCAAGATGTTTGCATAAAGGCTGATGCTGATTGGCCCGCAAAGCACTTTTAAAATTTATAATTCTCCCCCCACCATGCGTAAATAAATTATATTTTCCCTCCCCCCATTTTCCAAATGGGGAAGAAATAGAAAGTGTCCCCTTTTTTTTTTTTTTTTTTTTTTTTGAGATGAAAAATAATATATTGGTGTTTATTGTGAAATATGTATATGTTTATGATAATTTATAAATATGTTGATGTCAAAGAAAGAATAATAATAATAATAATAATAAAAAAAAGTAAAGAATAAAAAAGAAAGAAAGAAGCCAAAGAAAAGAAAAGATAATGAAAAACAAAGATATTAACTCTCGGGCACTTAAAACATATACCTATTCCGAATCTGAATCAGAAACTTCAGCAGCATTGATCAAGAGTTCAACAACTTCTTCTTCATTGTCCTCAGGATCAACGTCGCTATCAGATAACTGATTCTCTACAGAAACGGATAAAGTATAATCAGCTTCAGCATTGGGTCGTGGACTAATTAAGGTTTTTAGTTCACCATTAATTTTCGAGGACCATGCCTCAGCCAAACACAGTTCTCTCTTGAGCATAGATTGTTTACCACTGAGTTGACCATATTCAGATGAATTATGATCAGTACAGTTGTTCAACAGGCCTTCTACAACTCGAACCGCGTTTTCAAGTGCAGCCGTTTTTTTAGAGCCATAGGATATCACCCTAGTTATCTCGCCCTAGAACTTCTATTAGAATAATTGTTTATAAAACGATGCGAGTGATACATACTTCCAAAATATCCCTTTCTTCTCTTGCTCGATCAAGCCTATGAAAATCGCAGATGCTGGTGGGGAGGCTAAGGCCGATCTGTTTCTGCATGTAGACATAGACAAGATCGCCGTCGGAAATATTTTTGATAATATTTTTGTAATCGAGGTGTTGATCCTTTTTACGGGCACCTATGTGACAATGTAATACGCGTTATGTTAACCAAAAAAAAAAACAAAAAAAAAGCAAAAAGAGAAATATAATATAGTTACGTACCAAGATACTTGTTATATGCTTGAACGAGCTTTTGCAAATGCTTGCGTTCTCGTTTTAAGTCGGCGAACTTTGCTTTGATGTTGGCCTGTCCGACTACATGTATTACTAGTGTTAGTTTTTACATACCAATCTAATACACATATTACATACTTTTGCCGATTTTAAGATACCGAAGTCTGAAATGGATTCCTTGTGCGGTAGTGGAAATAAATTGAAGCAATCTATCCTCTACAGATGCAAAGTCCTTCTGATCATAATCTTCGAACAATGGATCTGCAAAGGTTGTAGGACGACAATCTACTCTATTCAACACTTGCTCTAAATACTCCATTTCTTCCAACGTTTTCTTAATCTCGTATCGGATAGCGTTAATCGCGGTAGAGTTCACAGCAGCTGCAATACGTGTTCTACAGAGAAAAAAAAGTCAGGCTAACATCAAATTTGTCAAAATGCTTGTTTCAGCTTACATCAGGAAGACATAAGTGTAAGATATAAAAGTATATCTGTCTAAATCTTCTTGGGAATTCCGTCTGACATCAGCTTCGTCCACCGACTCCCCTTGGACGAAGGTCGAGACAGGAACATATGGTGTTGTCAAGCCATCGTCCCTGCTCATTCTCTCCTTTGAATCTATAATCTTCTCGACAACCAGCTTCCACTTCGACTTCAGCTCCTTCAGTGACACCTTTGACATTTCAACCTCCAAGTCCTCAATCAATTTTTCATTCGCCAACCACTTGCGCCTTAAATAACCACCTTACATAAGAAAGTAATTAGTAGACAAAATTAAAATAGAAACGCTTTTCCCCTGATTACCCATATTATTCATCTTCTTCAACGCATGGTATCGCACACCGTCGGTTAAGGTCAACTTTCTGGTTGCAGCAGCCATATTTCTAGTTAGTTTGACATAACCAGAAAGGTAAGACCAAAACCGTTCCATACCTTCGCCATCCGTCAACCCAAAGCCAGGAATGAACCTAGGATTAAACTTCACTTGGCAACTGAATATATGACCATATGCATGGAACACCGTGACCGCATAGCGAGAAACGCCCTTCATACTTGGAAAACGATACTATAAAAAAAAATAAGTCAGATCATATTATTTAAAGTCTAACAAATTATAACTTTTACCTCGGCAGAAGGGCGAATCTGGCAAGCTAAGTCATACATGATGTCCAAGGGGAGGTCCTTAGTAGCACTATTGTTCAATACATGTTCAATAGATGCCAATGCATACTTGAACCTAAATTTGGAAATATTAGCATTGACGAATTATAGATGTAGTTGGTTTTCTTATTTACCCCTCGCCCTTGTCAATATCAAACAAGCAGGTAGGAATACCGTGTCTAGCACAGCCGGCGGCAAATACACCATTGACATCAATGGCTCTACTCTTCACAGCCTTATCTTCAGCTGCATGAAGCTTCTCAGGCTCAACAACACCGTCAACACCAGCATCAGCCTTAGCCTTAGCTTTACCCTTTGATTTGGATTTAGCCTTAGCCTTAGCCTTAGCCTTCGTCTTAGCTCCAGCACCGGCGCCAGCGCCAGCACCATCATCGCTATCATCACCATCTTTACCATCACCATCACCGACATACTGGAGTTCAGCATTCTAGAGTAATTTAAACATTTCAAAAAAAAACAGATTAATTATATTCATCAAATATTCATCAAGAAAATAAAAACAAGATCTTACACAATCACTGACAGGGCGATCATCCTTCAGGAACTTCTCCACATCCTTCGCTTTACCCCAAAGCTCGTCAACTTGATCCACCAAAAAAGGCTCAGGTGAGTTATGAGCACAATTATGGCGCTTCTGGGAAAAGTTTCCATCCATTGTTATCATTGTTCGCTCGGAACCCTAAATCATAGGATTAAAAATTGATATGTGGTGCCATTTTATAATAATCTTACTAAACAAACAACGCAGGAAGGTGCCAACGTGATCCCATCCAAAGACTGTGCGAACTCCTCCTCAAGTGTTCTCTCGATAGACAGCAATAATCTACAGTAAATGAGATAACACTTGTTCAACACATCTTGACCAAGTGACAGCAACTGTAAAAACATGTGTGTAAGCAATCAAATAATGTAAATACAGTCCATGATTTAGTCTTACCTCCTCACCAGAGTCACTAGCGGCTCTTCTTGAATTCTGCAAATTCATCCACTCGACCCAGGACGTGACTGAATCCTGGCCGATTACCTTACGGTCGTGAATGGCTTGCAAGAAACCAAAGTGTACAGCACACTTTGGTTGTCTAATGCTGGCAGGCATGAATTGCAAGAGCATTAAAGTTTTCCAAAGAGGCTTGCAATCGCACTCTTGGAATTTCACCGTGACATGGCCTACATTAAGATGTTTCTTAGTAAAAGTACACTTTCAAATCGGTCAGAAAAACTTACGGTGAAAGAAGTATAATTTCACTTCCCGAAATTTTACTTCGTGGTGTTCGCAAAGAACAGCAGGTGCCTCAACCTCAACAGCTTCAGCTTTGGGGAATCCTCCCTGCATCGACTCAAAAAAGGCAGCCTTAACACCTTCAAGGTTCTCCTTCCAGTCATTGGCCAGTTGCGTAGGCTTCATCTGACGCTTCTCCCGAGCAGCCTTTTTGGCAGCTTTTTCTTTTGCTGCAGCCTCCTCCTCATTGGCAAGAATTTCTTCCTCTGTCAACACAGGCTCATCGTAAAAATTGTTGTCATTTAAGTCGAAGTAGTTGTCCCAATCGTTAAGAGCATCTTGTTGAGGCAAAGCCTCATTTTGTTGCGACAAATCCTCAACGGGATTTTGGCGAGGCTTCTTGGGAGCCCGATATGATTCGAAATTAGAAAAGTCCAAATCATCCAGTTCGAATTTATTGTAATCAACAACAGGAACAAAGTCGCGCTTATCAATAAACTCGTCCTCAGGTACGGGCTTAAACAATTCGGATGTGAACTTGAAAGGTTTTTGCGTGTTGTCTGGCATTTGGTAAGAAAATAATTAAATTTGTTAAAAGAAACAGCAAATGAAAATGAATAATTAAAAGAAACAGCAAATGAATAATTGAATAAACAATTCTGTAAATTAGAGTTCCGAATTAGAATTGTGCAGTATAAAAAAATTTTTTTTAAGGGTATTAATATTTAATCTCCGGAATATAGATGGATCAGGGCGAAAATACAAGCAGGCGGCATTTTTAGTCATAATGTATGGGAGTTTTTTTGCAGGCGTCATTTTATGACAGCACATTAAATTTTTCAATAAATTTGTCCGACTGTTTTCTGAGTTAGACGATTGGGGTGTTTATCTGATGCTGTACCTTATATATAGTACAAAACGATACAGATCTGATTTTACAGGCTATTACTAGAAGCGCTAGTAAGAATAGAGCCGATAATGACTTGAGTAGTATTCCAGTAGTAAACCGCAAGGTGAATAAGGTCACTAAAGCGAAACTTCAGCGAGTAGTTGACACTATCCAGGAACAGAATAACGTCAATGAAGGGTTACTCAAAAAATTCATACAAAAGGAAATTTTAGCTAGTGATTTTATTATTTTAGAATCTTCTGAGGAAAGAGAATTAAGACCCATTTAGTAGCGCATTATGGCCTGACAGCAATAGAAAAGTTCATTCAGAATCATAACATGAATTAGCCAGGTCTAAAAAAAGATATCTTAAGAACTGTAGCATCGTGTAAAAGATGTAGGTTATTTAATAGTAGTCAAACAGTATACTACCCACCTACGAGTATCTTGCCCGATGGCGTGATGGATCATGTAGTCATGGATCTAGGAACGCGTAATATAACTTCACCTAGAGAAAATAATTTTATCCTTGTGATGGTACATTTATTCTCTCGATTTGTCATGTTAAGTGCTATACCTGATAAGCGTGCAACTACCATTGCGAAGCAACTTGTTCAGAACGTTTCTATTCTTGGATATCACAGCCGCGGACTCGGTAGTGGAATTCCGCGCACGTTGCGGAAAGACGCAACATGGTGGATTAAATACGCAACCATCGGAATATAAGTTTTTTATTTAAATTTTTTTTCTTTTACAAGCATTGCCAAATAACACATTGCCAATTAACACATCAGATTGAATAAAATAGTAATCACTCCATTAGATAAATTGTTGAAGAGAGTTTAATTACAGTAAAACTTGTCTACGCAAAACAGAGAAAGATACGACCAACTTACAAATCAGCTAAAGAACCAGCAGGAAGATGATTAACCTTGTCAGTATATTTAATGTACGGCCAAACAAGCTTGAAAAGTTAGCGGAATCGGAATACGGTACAAGACCAACCACTTGGAGAATGTCTGTAATAAAAATAGCAGCGTACTTCTTGTATCTGTTACCCCTGGAATCCCGAGCAACTGTCACAATACTGTGAGCGTCGAATTGCTGCTGCCTCATTACTTCAACGATAGCCAAAAATATTTCTTCACCTTCTTGCTTGTGTGTAAAGTAGCAGTGAGCCACACCGACAAACCAAATGGAAATAGATCTAAATTTTATGCTGTAAGTACCAATAAAGTTTGTCAAATGTCTTTTACTTACCTGTGACCAGTACGTTTGGGAGCCTTAAACAGGACAATATTATTTGCTCTTGTCTTTAAGTTTTTCAAGGTTATGTCCATAATCGAAGAAAATACCAAGTCATCGTTCCAAGCAAGACTTGAAATCAAAATGGATGACGAGGTCAATTGCTCGATTTCATCCCTAATCTTATAATCATAATATGATATCAATGCATCAATCACCTTCAATCTCGGGACACCAAAACATATTTCTTCCGAATCCGATCCAAGCAAAGTTTGAGGTACAAACGGACACCAGACTTGAGCACCAGAGGAATGCGAACAGTAGGTGTCTGGACAATCCGTAGATTCTGGAAATTAAATAGACTGCAGACGTCTAACCGCCATCTTGTTATAATTAGCCTGGTGACGAAGGACGTTCGAAGCATTTGCCCCTATAAGATGCGTGGACTTGATCAAGATGGTGAGCTTTTTAATTGTCCGCTCCATTGGTTGGCAAGAGTACCATTTTAATGGCCCCATCTGTTCAACCAAATACGGCCGATGCATCAAATAATGGTTATTTGCTGTGAACACTCGCGCATTGATACGACTTGCAACAATCGCTCGATTCAAAAACGTATGCCAACTACTAAAACATCTAAATGTTTGCGTTAATGTCTAATTTTTAATAACTAGTCTCTGATTGTCATGTTACCCCTTCATTTTTGCAATGTCCCTACGAGAAATGCGCCACTGCAAAGCAATGGAACATCCCTCCACCAATTCCATCAACGCACATTTGGTTTCATTGTTCTGGACCAATGGAAGTACAATGGTCGGGGCAATGTACAAGAGAAAGTCTAAATAATCGACAACTCTTCCGATACCTACATCGCCATCCCAAGTTCCCTCAAAAGCTGATGGTATGTAAGCCCTGCTCTGCTTCACCTTTTCGTCAATCTTTTGGATAATAGTGTCATCACGTGCATTCAAACCAAAGGTATATAGTGCATCTTGAGTGATGAATTCACGGAACTTTTTGTTTTTCTTGGGATCCAAAAGAGTATACACCAAAGTACCAAGCTCTCTACCAATCAAATGCATCTCGTCACCAAGAAAAAAAAATGTACCGGTGAAGGTGGAAAGAGAGCTAATAACAGGATCAACACCAAGCATATCGAATCCCTAATTCATACTGCGTTTAGTATCTTAAAAATATTGGTGCACACTTTGAATAATTTACCGCATCGCCGTTGACTAATTCGTCTTTGGTTCTCATGTCACCTGCATCCAAGAAGTACATACCGTAACGGCAACCTTCAGGATGTCTGCCAGCATTTTTGCAAATTCTGCAGCCATATTTGCTCGTGTGTCCACGATGATTCATTAAGTCAGCAATTCCTGGAATATCACCAGTCATTCCGAGGAAGAATACTTTACTTTCGTGGACGATTTCATTGTTTTATTCAACGACGAATCGTCTTGCAAACAACGAATTGATTTCCTCGATGATTGGCGTCAAAAAACTCATCAAATACTTGGGCTTTTTTGGGCCAGGTGAAATAGCCAGTGGAATCATCATCGACTTCTTTGCTCTAACAACGAAAAGGTAAGTTTGATTAAGACAACATATACAAGTAAATTTAATTTCTAAACCTTTTAGAAGCAGGAATGCTCATCACCATGCAATGGACTAACGTTTGAGAGCTGCCAGGTTTGGATTTGTTGGAAAACCCATCAACGTAAAGAACAAGGCAGATGTCTTTGCGTGTGAGCAAATTTTGACGAAGAAATGCTTTGGACACCGAACCGGAAAACATGTCAATGTAGACGCCATCTTTATCATACTCGCTGAATTGGCTTGCGTACTTGAAGTCTTCATGGATTTCGTCGTCGACCAGTAGTTCCGCAAGTGAAGCCCCGACAGAAGACATAGCCACGGTTTGAAAGGCTTTTGGAGGTGAAATGTCGCCCGCACGGGTTGATTCCTCAGCTTCATTTTGGTTTTTGTATCGCCACCACAAGCAGGGTTGATACAATGTGATTGCTGCACGTTATCATCAAAAAGAAAACATCCTTCGCGACACACATCATACATTTTCACAGAATCAATGCTGCCTTTATCAAGTAATCTATGAATAGCCTCTGGAGAAGAAAGTAATCCGCCCAAGTCTAAATTGCAATTAGTATGAAAGGAAGTCTGTGAGTCAATATTTAATTTACCTGAGACAGCAACAGGATCAATGTAGGAAAGAAGGTTTCCATTGACATGCTTTACGACATTACGCTGGACCTATCCTGAAACACCGTTATGGTCAAGAAGCTTAATTAAGCCAATGCCAAACTTTTGGATTATGTTCCAGTTGTAATTGTGGTCAAAGTGCTTGTATCTGATCGCATCTTCGAACATGAAAGCGTCATAGCGTGCTAGTTATTGTAGCAATGCATTGTAAGTTAGAAATATGTTACTATAATTTTAATTATTATTACCTGCAGCTTCTTCCATTACAGTATCATCGTCCGCATACTGCTCAGCAAGATTTTGGACGGAAGTAAGCTCTTTTTCAGCATCATCTTGTGTATTGGTATTGTGATAGTTGCGAGAATAGATTTTAAAAGAGAAAAAACAATAAAATACTTTGAGACTGCTTATAAGTTTTATTAAGAGTAAAGTAGATTAAAAGATTCAGAGGGTTCTATTCTAACTATCAGTTTGTATATTTATATATGTTAAGAGAAATCGGATTATGAATTTAGTTTGATGGATAAGTTACACAGCACTAAAATAGTGCTTGTAGTTGGATATGATATAATGTACAAGAAATTAGTTCGTGTTGTGATGTAATAACGTATGGGGTGATGAAATGAGATTTAATTTTAATATTGTTTTATGATGTGATTAGTAACAACAGTAGGTGGATCACCACAGGTATTGATACTGTTCATTCCACTTCTTACTGCAAACAAATGGGGTTTTACTCTTCGTTGATGCTCGACCATTCGAGCATGGTTTTCAAAAAGACTATCGCAATAGCTGCATGTAAAGTTACGCGATGAAATCATGGATGTTGTGTTTTAAGGTAAAGTAAAATTATAAAAAGACTATAGGAGTAGTTTGAGACTGTTTATAAGATTGTCCTTTATTAATAAATGAAATGTACGAGTATTTATATAAAAGACTGTCTGCTGTGTTCATATCTCTAGTGCTATCTTGAAGTTATCATTGATTAACCAAAAATGTATACGATTATTACATAGTCACTAATTTAGTCTTGTTCTAATAAATGTTAAGTCTTCTTAACTCTCTTTGCTTTAAACTAAATTTTAAGTATTTCTCAGACGCACTAAATTAGACTTGTGATGTAATATCCTTATAGTTCTTACTATGACATTTATTGTTAAGCTTATATCACAAATGGTATCAGCATGGATAAACCTTTGTTAGCTCTAATATGGCTATAGCCTTGCTAGGTCACCACAATGGAATTAAATTGAGGGAAGTGTTAAAGAAAGATGCCGTAATCTAATCCCAACATAAAGTATTTAACGCAGTTGCATTAACCACTAGATCCAATTTTGAATCACAGACAGCTGTCATTACGTATTGCAAGTAGTGCTAATTTTTTTTATATAGTAGCATGGATTATATCATGGATATGATGTAAAAACCATGACGTGCAAGAATATGGAGAATATATATATAGCGCGTTTTTTCTGAATAAGCGGTTTTTATCAATCTACATCATAAATAATTTGAAAATGCCCGCATATAACAGAAATGACATGGTTCGTACCATCATCGAACTTCAAAAGCTAGTATTTGATTTGCAAACCGAAATCCGATCCAACCACTCCCAGGTAAACGATCGTCTTGACGCCATGGAAGAACGGTTGATTGGAGGGAGCGTGACTGACATGACACCGAGAAAAGGTAATCATAACATGGCATTGGTATACCTTGACATACAACTAACACGTTTTTATAACAGTAGATCAGATGACCGAGCAATCGGCTGTCAGAAGTATCGCTCGTTTTCCAGGAGGTAAAAAGCCTGAGACTGGGATTGTAACCGAAAAGGGTAAACCTGGTAGGATTAGTGACAGAGAGGCGCTCTGGGAGTTCTTGTTGTGTGTTCGACCTGATTTATGTCATACACCTGAGGAAAGTCAAGAAGAAATTGAAATGAAGAATGTGGAATTGAAACCCTTGTATGGTGTATTAAGAGATTATGCTAAATCATGCATCACACAATTGAAGGCAGAGGTCCAGTCAGACCCAGTTCTTAGCATAAAGACATGGGATATTCTTCCCGTGAGCTCAAGATGAAGTATATCCTTGCTTTGGAAGCGCTGGCCAGAAGAGGTAAGATAGGTTTGGATCAATGCTTGGATCACTGGGGAGCTGAAAGACTGCTAGCTAGTGTTGCTCACAACCCATTGGGAGATAAGGTACGTACATTATAAAAAAAGGAAGTTCGTTGATTGTTAAGCAACTAATGCAATTTTTGTTTTGCAGAGAGTGTCGAAAAAGAAGTCAAGCTCTTTGTCCGATGATGAAGAGATCATCCCTCCTGGTCTCGGACTAGAGCAACTAGAGAGTTTCTCTATACCCAATGAAGAGCAGCCTGGTAGAGAAAATGATGATGTGTCTTTGGAAAAAGATACTGCATTAGCCAGACGTGGTCGCAAAAGAAGGATTGTCAATAATTAAAGAATCTTTTAGGCTAAGTCGCACTTTTAATAATTCCATATAAATTAAAAAACTTGCGGATGACAATTTTTCTGCCTTTCTTTCCTGTTTGTATTCTTTTTTTTTGTATATTTTGTAAGTACTGTCCTTCATGTAGTAGTAGACAATACTAAAATATATACCGTAAATAAATGTAGCGTACAAAACGCCAATATTGATTATTTCTGTATATTTTAAATTGTCTAAGATTTATGTGTACATATCCGCCATATGCTGAAGGTAATAGTCATCTGAATATCCAATACGTCTTCTCTAATAAATTGTATAATAATAGATTGTATTGATTAGTCTCTGGGCTATAAGGGCGTATTGAGGTAGTAAATGTTTTTTTGATATAAAATTCTTCTCTTGGGCCGTAAAAAAGTTTTTTTAGGCTGTAAAATTTTGCTTTTAAGCTATAAAATATTTTTAGGCTGCAGTTTTTTTTCGTTTAGGCTGATAAAACTGTTTATGTCGATATGCTGCTACATCTCTCGAGGGCTCGCGAATGTTATCTGTATACATGGCTGGATGTTTGGTTAGTGTTATATCAACTGGGCCCGTCAATAGTAAGTGCAAAGGATATTATGAATGTAAGTGGGCCCTTTCAAACTGGAGCTGATATGTACATAAATTATTTTTAAAGTAAAATACAAAATAAACATTGAATAAAATAAAAACGTTTTCATTTAAATCCTGCTTCTTTATTATATAATTTATATTTTGATTGCACAAATGTATAAGGTCCATCAGCATCAATAGTATTGTAATTAAAAGTGATGTACTACGTTTTGACTAAAAGGACGCTATACTGTGGTAAAAAGACGCAACAGGTGGATTTTAGTAACTACCAGAAGTGGTATAATTACGAAACTTGCGGAAAAAAACCGCAACATTAAGTGGTATAAACACGCAACATGCGGAAAAAACTCGCAACATTAGGTGGTATAATTTCGGTTTTTTACCACCTCCGGTGGTAAATGAACTACGATTCCGCAACATTCGGTGGTATAAAATGGACGTTTTTACCACCAAATGTTGCGGGTTTTTACCACATGTTGCGGGTTTTTGCCACATAGTCCGCCACTGTGGTATGTTCTAGCTCCAAGTATATCAGCCATGTGTACATATCATTTATTACTTTGCTGCGCTCAAAGATGGAACGTGAGATCATGGTAAAGGATGGTGAAATTCTTAAGGTGGACGATTCTTTTAAAATTATTAAAAAGATAGCCAAAGTTGGTGGTAAGCCTGTATTCCAAACATTGTACACCGTTTGCAAAGAGTATGAAGAAGTACGTGCAATGGTTTTTGTACCGACAAAAGGTCACGCACATGTCAAACCATTGTTGTGCGCTCTTAAGAAATCGTACGAGCTATATGGTCACACCATGCCAAAAATAGCTTTTACAGACATTGTCGTAGGCAATCAGAAGCTCTTTGAAGACATTTCCCCTTCCTTGATAATTGATGTAAAACATGTTGATGATGTAATGGTCGAAGTAACTGATCAAGAACACGAACTACCCGTGTATGAAATTCCTTCGGACGTCACAGTTGAATGTTTAAGTAGCATTGATTCCATTGACTTTTTTATCCAAACAATTTTAAATGATAGTCATTATAGAAGAACCAGAGTAAATATTGGTTTTGATTGCTGTAGTAAAAGTAGACTTTAGGAGAGAATAGTTTTACAGAGAAAGATAGATAAAAAACAAAGAGAATACATTATAAGTCTTGTCGATTTATTCGTATAAAAATTGGTTACGAGCTAACTAGACGGGCAGGTTTGCCCTGATATTTATAGAATATTGAAGATATTGTGGCTTGTATTTTTGACAGCTCAGATCCATCGTAGTTTTATATGATGGACCATTCATTTGGTTTATTGAAGATCGTAAGATAGCTGTCCTTGATTTATTATTGTTCCTTAAATTCTCTGATCTCTCATTGGTCGGAGCCTAGAGTTGTGTTATAATGAAGAAAATTCCATGAAGCCGGGTTACTTATTCCCGATCTTTTATCCGTGAAACATCTCTCCTTTTTGTAGACAGTAGCATTTATTATGCGGTTTTAGCACAGTTGCGAGTGGTATTATACCATCAGACCGTCTTATCAAGGAAAAGTCGTTATCATACCAATTGCTTATCAGAAAAAGGTTTTCATCATTCCGACAAAACATTTCGATGTCGGCCCTACTTCTGGTTTAAAAATTCTTCCTGCATATTTGAAAATTCTTCCGTAGACAAGGTCCATAACAAAAATTGGAGAATCAATCGGCAGTGATTTTAAAAAGATTCAATGAGATTTTCATGGTGATTTTGTTTGTCTTGGCTCTTTGGAAATTATCACTCTCTGCAAGGACAAGGATGTTGTCGCCCGGTCCAATTTGAGTCTAGCCGACGCTTGCAAGGCTGTTCTCAGTCGAAAATTGAACAAGGATGATCGTATTAGGTCTGGAAATTGGGAGGAAGCGCGCCTCAGCGAGGATCAAATAAAGTATGCTGCTGCTGATGCGTACGTTTTGTTGGAAATATATGACAAGCTAAAACATTTCTCAACAATTGGATTGGCAATTGGGGGTGAGTCACAAGTTGGGACATTTGTAAGTGTTTATGCTGGGTCATCAAAAACAATTTTGGCACGTGGATCCATTCGCTCGAAAGATACGGTTCAATGGAATAGTAACAGCATTGAAGGTATTAATTAATCGCATCTAAAATTGTTATATCATAATAAATTGATCTTATATAGGTTCTGCAACTATTCAGGAAAGACAAAGAAAGGTCAGAAAAAGAAATATTGCTGTTATCGAGATCACGGATATAATGGTACCGGCCACTTTCGTCAATCCTTTTCTATGGTTCATGATTTAGAAACGGAAAAGTGTAGCCTAGAGTGTGGTAAACGGGATTGGTTTACACAGAAAAATAAAAAGAATAAAAATTAAAACAGGGAATAAGTTAAATATCCAATGTGGTTTTACTCCAGGTTAAAGGTTAAAAATAAACTAAAGGAAAACTATCTATCTAGAAATTGTCCTATTTATATGAATTGTTAGATGGTAATGATTTATAGTTGTGATAAGCTGTTACTGTGCTTATCACTATCTTATGATTGAGAAACTATATTCTGGGTATTTTACACAGAAAAATGGCTGTCTATCTTTTATGATTACAGCAGGTATATTTGAATTTGAAGATACTCTGTGAGGTAACACAGAGTTTTCGTTTTCTATTTCCTTATTATAGAAATTCTGTCCCTGTCTATGAATAATGGTAGAATGGTGATAAGGATATTTTACTGTCATATCCTTATCTGAAATGGTATTATGTATTTTATTGGTTGTATGCTTTGTTATGAAATTATGTATATTTATTATTGGCTGTAGCCGTTATTATTTATGTAGTTATATATTATGTGTTTTACCACATAGAGGTTTTGAAAAAAAATGTGTTGACAATGGAACATCGATTAAAATTTTTATCGATATCAAGCTAAGCAGTTAAGGCTGAAGTCAGCAAAGCCACCTTTTACTGAAGTACCGCTGTCATCCTCACAAAATTCTGAAGATACGCCCATTAGTAATTTCAACCAGGCTCAAATTATTATTGATGATATTTCCATTTCAGTTGGTAGATTTATTTATATAGATTTTTTTTATCCGTCATGATATTTGTTTTAAGCAGATTTGGATATGGTAATTGATGATCAAAGTGAGGATGAAGAAATTTACAACTTTATCGAGCAAAATAACAATACTGACGTCGATACACTTTTGAATGTCAATATCCATCACGAAGAAAGCAACGATGACAATATGTCGAACATGTTTCCGACTCGTGTTTTAAAAGACATATTCAATTTAATGGATATGATAAAAGTATCAAAGAGACGTGGTTTGTCTAAGGAATCTCCTCGAGTTTTATGAGATACTATATTTCTTTACGATGAAGAGGACAAGAGAGCTGTAGAAGAGTATCTTGAATCTGTAGACGTTACTTGGGACAAGGCAATGTTAATCAAGTCGAACTGGGTGCTCAAGCGAGTACGTACATATGTACGAAGTCCGGATGTTCTTTTGCCAGTGGTCGATAATCTTTTCAATGTTGACAGACATATTAAGTGCGCTGTTACAGGATTCCCGCTATTCGACAGACAGGGTTGGAAGTAAGCCAAAGCCGTTTTGGAGACAATCAGAAAAGACCATGTCAGCGATACTCCTGGAATTTTATTCTACTATTTGATCAAGGGAGATTCGCGCAGATTTTCTGTGTATCGTTGTACGAGAGGCACAAATTCTGTTGAAGGTGGTATCCACCAAAATATTATTCGAAAGTTTAATTCTTTTAATGCCGGCCTATTTTTGGCCGATTGTGCTCTCGCTGATTATCGTCTGCGCCACAACATTTCTGTAAGATCAGAGGTACAGAATTTAATTCAGTGAGTACTTAATTAAGTTCATAACTAGGTTGGAAGCAGAAATAGATTTAATATCGAGCATCGAAGCCATTACAACCCATGGCTTGTTCAAGCTCTGAATACGTTACGTGCTGATTTTGATCAAGAATTTATTCCGTCATATACTAACTCTTACGGTATCTCTCACCATCTTGTTGATTCGAACGAAAAATTTGGAATATGCCCTGTTTCTCAGGAGATTATAGATACTTTCAGTTACCTCTTACCTTTAAGACAAGATTCAGAATTATTGTCAAAAGGAAGAAAAGTTATCAATAACGGAAAAGATTTTAATTTACAAGTATTGGCCCAAGGTAATTAGTCACAGATTTATAATTAAATGTTTTCTTAAGTTGATTACTGATACCTAACAATATTGTAGGTGTTTTGGAAGTGAGCTCGCTTGTTGCAGTAAAACTGCCTGCCGTAAAGATGATGATGTTGATTTTATGACACATAACAACACGAATCCGCAGGTATTTTCAGATGCATTGAGATCAACCAGGTACAATGATTACCACTATCTGGCTAGTGCACAAGGAATTAGATTTGCATTGACTCCCGTACACACATATGAGGAGTATAAACTGTACAATAAAGTTGTCAATAATCATTTCTCAGCTCAAAATCTTAACAATTATTTCACCTGGGTAGCAATATTTAAAGCATGGTCTGAAAGAGTAGATGGTGTCTCTATATTTTACAAGTGTCCTGAACACCTTATATAATATTACAACAAAAAACAAGTATGACAGTAAATACAGAGATAACAGTTTGATTAACCAGGCTCAGTGTGATATGATGCGTAGCAACATTCGAAATGAATCACGTTTGGTAAATGCTCAAACACCCAGTACTTTCACCCATTTGGGTTCAAGACAACTGAGCACTAACGTCATCAGTAATGATCTGAATATTCCTGTTATTATCAGCTCTTTGCGAACTCCCCAAATTACCAGACCAGCTAGAATCATTGCTCCAACCCTTATGACATTAATCGACAGTAGTAGTTCTTTCGCATTCCAACAGCCTCATCATAGTCCTAGAATGCAAATTCCTCGATTGCTAAATAATTTTACGCCTGCGATTACTACCATCTTATAATATACTACAATTCATACCTTTTTGCAACACGGAATTTAGACCCCGCTGAAAAATGTATTTCCGAGGGGGGTCTGGGGGGAGGGGCTTGACCCACCCCCAGGAACAAAGACCGGTAGATTGGCATTGAGTGTTAAAATGTTGATTGGCATTGAGTGTAAAAATGTGGGTTGGCATTGAGTGTAAAATTTTTGATTTGCATTGCGTATAAAAAATATTTATTAGATATGTATACTACAGCAACATAAGCAAACGGAATATCCGTATTATTTTCAGATAAAAGAACACTACTGAAAATGTTATTTATCCTGAATTACTCATCCACACCTAACTCCCATTAAATTTTATATCTTATCCAAAATCATCATTTTTTATCCCACCTTATATATTACAAATGAATGCTATATTTATTAACTTTGAGTGCGTTTCAGACGCTGGCTCCGCTCACGAAGTGAGCGAGATGCCAGCTAGTTACTACTACTACAAATCGCGAAATGTTTTACATTCTTCCACCGAAAGAAAGAAAACCAAGGACATGTAAGAAGTGTAACAGCTCTTCAGCAAGGGCAATATGAATAGAAATTTTTGTACTTCTCAAACTATGTAATAAACTATCAGTTTAAAACCTTTATTTATATTCAATGTAGTCCTGTAAAAAATGCGATCATACAGAATAGGTTTTTTTTGGAAGCGCCTGTGGTATTTGACAAAATATTACAATAGAAAAGTAATGATATAAAAGTATATTATTTATTAGAGGTAAAAATAGACTAAAAGAACTCTGCTGCTATGAAATACTTGATCCTTTTTATATTACACAACTCTTCTCAGTTTTAATGATGAGTCAATCTTTCTGGTTTTGCAATAGATCTATACTTTGTTTCCCGCCTTGGGTTAAATGAATACTACTCGTTAGAAGTGTTTCCAGTTAACGCTGTCCAATATCAGTGGATCGGGAGCATAGTAATTCTAATAAATCTTTAGTATTACCAGACACTTATTTATCAGATCATGCAACCGTGACTGTAACAGATGCATACTTGTTTTTCAGGTGTAATTGGCAATATAATCTAATATAATAGTTGATCATTTATTCATTATCTTTGTAAAGAATAAAATACGGTCCGAAATATAAAGTGTCTTATCGTTATTTGTATATTTGGTTGTAGAAGATAGGTATTCATTAATTGATACACTATTTCCTTATACTCTCTAGCAGCAGTATAATTATATTAATATATACGTAAATGATCCATTTATATCAAAAGCTGTTCTAATTTCTCTCTAGGTAGCTAATCCATTGAGAGAACTATTAATATTAACTTTCTCTTTCTTATAGGTTCTTGATTTAATCTGAGAAGATTCTCTTCTCGATCGGTGATATTGTATCTCAGTGGTATAGCATTCCGTATCAAACTGTCATTCGTATATTGTATTCAGGCCAATCATGCAATCTTTAAAAGAGAAGTATTTATTCGAAGTAGGAGAGGTTGTATAGCAGTATACAAGCGTATGCTGGTATGCAACATAAAAGGGTGCTTTAATTTCATAGATTATTTACTTAAACGATTTGCTTAATTATTTTTAAGTGAATCGTATACAAATACGACAGTAACACCAGCCCTACATGTTCTGTGTGTTCTTCGGAATTATTTGAGTATATGAGGAGATCGTTAAGATAAACAACAAGAAATGAATCAAGGATTTCACGCAAGGTGTCATTAACTAAAGCTTGGAAAGATGCAGGAGCATTACAGAGGCCGAAAGGCATAACGCAATATGGAAAGTGCCCATAGCGAGTTCCAAAAGCGGTTTTCTATTCATGACCAGCTGCTATTTGGAGTAAGTTGTAAGCACCACGCATTTCATGTTTGGTAAATATTATACCTTTGTTTAATCGATCGAGAGTTCCAGTTATTAAGGGTAGTGGACATCGATTCGAGATAGTAATTTTATTTAAGCTGCGGTAGTCAACAACAGGACTGTTGTGATCGAGCTTATATACAGATATAACTCTATAATCAATTCTGTCTTTCTTATTTGATAACCTTTTCTTGCATTACTCTTTAAATTAAATACATGCAATTACACTCAATTTACTACGCATTGATTACTCATCAATATATAGAAAACAATAGTCATATATTTATTCCAGATAATACAATCCAATGATATGATCGCTCGACAATAACAAGATTATCGAAGGTACCATGACATGCTCGATCTTTAATTGACAATACGCCTATTGTATATTTGACAGGCTTCACTATAATGATTGATATTCAGCCAGCCCCGAATATGTATATAAAGTGTGCTATTTAGCCATATTATACCGTAGTCGAATTAGGTTACGCGATCACAATCCACAACAATTAACATTATTGTGACTACTAATAACCTCATATAAAAGCAGAAATTAACTATTCAACTAGACGGATCCTTCTTGTCTTTTTATTATTATAAAAAAACAATAAAGTTATCAAAAGTTTCATTTTATTTCTTGACCCATAATTATCACATAAAGAACCCAATTTATTGTATAATAAAGACTAGCTGGCATCTCGCTCACTTCGTGAGCGGAGCCAGCGTCTGAAACGCACTCAAAGTTAATAAATATAGCCTTTATTTGTAATATATAAGGTGGGATAAAAATGATGATTTTGGATAAAATATAAAATTTAATGGGAGTTAGGTGTGGATGAGCAATTCAGAATAAATAACATTTTCAGTAGTGTTTTTTTATCTGAAAATAATACGGGTATTCCGTTTGCTGATGTTGCTGTAGTATACATATCTAATAAATATTTTTTATACGCAATGCAATTCAAAACATTTACACTCAATGCCAACCCACATTTTTACACTCAATGCCAATCAACATTTTAACACTCAATGCCAATCTACCGGTCTTTGTTCCTGGGGGTGGGGCAAGCCCATCCCCCAGACCCCCCTCCCCTCTTTTGGGGGATACTCCCCCAAACCCCCTCTATAAAGATAATATATCTAATAAATATTTTTTATACGCAATGCGAATCAACATTTTTACACTCAATGCCAATCCACATTTTTACACTCAATGCCAATCTACCGGTCTTTGTTCCTGGGGGGTGGGGCAAGCCCCACCCCCCAGACCCCCCTCGGAAATAAATTTTTCAGCGGGGTCTAAATTCCGTGTTGCAAAAAGGTATGAATTGTAGTATATTATAAGATGTTAGTTTGTGTTTACAATTTGATAATCTTACTTCGTCAAATTTCTTAGTTTTATTCTTAATTCGTTGTTTTATCTCTCGAATTTCTCAAGGACGACGAGAGCCGGCAGCTTTCTTGACAAAAAATACGGGAGCACCAGCAGGGGGGTTCTGATCTTTCAATAAAACGTTTTGCTAATTTTTCTTAAATATATTCGTGTAAGGTATCCATTTCAATTTTTGGAAGGTTGTACAAGGGTCCAAAAGTTACTTCACCACCGGTTTTGATAGGATAGTGTGGTCGTGGATTCTATGCCGTGGTAATTTATTCGCCTTTCTTTTTGAAAACACAATATTGAAATCCTGAGATTTTTCGGCTAACTCAATTGTTGGAGTGGTTGCAGATTTGTTTGTATCTATGACGGTATTTGTAACTGTTGTTTCGGTTTCTGAAACACTTAAAAATTTTAAAGTAGATGAATCGTGTTGTTCTCCATTTTTTTCCTTTTTTCCTTTTTATTATTCATTTGTAAAAAGTCATAAAAATACTCGGAAAAAGGATTCATTTCATTGAAAGAAGTAAGATTACAAGGTGTGTTATCATCGTTATTATTCGTATTATTTTTTCCATCGTCGATCGTGACTACATCGTTAATTGTTGTATATAATTTGGTTGGTGAACATCCACGTAAGAGGCAAGTCAATACCATGGTACTAGATTTCCAGTCGAAAGCATGATTGTGTCTTGCCAACCAGTCTTGTCCAAGAATTACCGAGTGAGCAGCGTTGTCGAGATGTTTTAAGTTTAGAAATTCATGATGATGTGTGACATTTATTTTTAAAAATAAAGAGGACACGCTGTTGGTAATATGGGTGGAGCTGTTAGCTAACCGGAAGGTAGTGTTGTCACCAGAAACAAAGGGAAGACCGGTCTCCATAATAAGGGAAGATGATACAAATGAGCTTGAGCTCCCAGAGTTGACAAGGACAGAAGCAGAAACACGGACCAGATGTTAAGGTTACTGGGATTATTGTTAAACCAGACACTTCGCTTTGCGTAACATAGGCAATGTTAAATCCAATGACCTTATTCATGCTATCTTGCTTTTGCATGACTTGATGTTTATAATTATTCAGTATGTTCTTCTTGGGGAACGGGTTAGTCCTGACTAAATTTAATTCGTGATCAAGCGGGGTAATGACATGGACTAAATGGATGCAGTTATTTGTGATAGTTTCATCGTACTTGTCACCGATCAGAATGGTATATGGTGGGGTACGTGGGTCTAAGTTGCTGGTTTAAAATTTTGTTGTGGCAAGCTGCTGTGAAGTGACCGGGTAACCCACAATAGTGACAAAGATTATTTTTTCGTCTTCATTCTTTTTCTTCGGATGTAATCGGACACGGCAATTGTTGTTGTTGCTTGATTGAGGACTGGATTAATTAAATGAGAAGAATGGGTTGTTAGTTAGATTCATAAGAAACTTCATAAATGGGTTGTCCAACATTGTCAATTTGTATGGGTGTGGGTTGTTGGGGTCTTTGTTTTTCATGGAGAACAAAATAAAAATTAAACCAAAAGTGATACTGTTAGAACTTGGATACCACTTTATTATGGACGACGAAAAAATATAATTAAAAACGTATTAAAAATGTATTCAAAAAAATCTTGATGGTCTATGAGAAAAACTATGGATATTATTATATTAAAATTATTGGAATCGTAACTACGCAGTCACAAGGCAAGCTAATTTTCAGTCCCAAAAGTTACAAAAGTTAGGATTTTTAATGGGGGTGGGGGGTTTGGGGGAGGGGGAACCCCTCCACCCAAGAATACAGCCCATAGTATTAGCATGAAAGAGCTTATATCTTATAAAACATTATTTTTTTTTTTAACAGCGTAA